ACTCTTCCTGACATTTATGGACTAGTTGCTGGCATCTCACAGTGCATTTGCTCTATAGTTCAGTATGTTTACTGCCTTCGGCATGCTGATAATCCTTTCAAAGCATCCCTTTTGCCTGCCATATTTCTTGTGTGTTTAGGTGGTTCAAAACTAAGTAATAACCGAATGAACGCCAATACCACTGATATAGAGGACTCCTGGGAAAATTCTTCAAGGTAAACACGAATTACACTGCTCATATGCTGCTTAATTAATTTGCATATTAAATCTTTTTGCAGCTTTTTAGTCTGAGATAATAAAAAAGGAAGGCTTCTTCTTCTTTATTTATTTATTTATTTTTGGAAGGAGAGGAAATGGAAATTTTAAGAATCAATTAAGAGACATTTTATTGGATATCATATATCACATGGGAATTCTACTTATATTTCAATAAGCACAAAATGTAAAGACTCAAGTGCGAGCGGATAGAGAGAGAGAGTGGCTAATTAAGCTAGCTCTCTATCTCTAATAAACAAGACAGTCGTAAAAGATTGTTTTCTTTTCTCTATTTGCTTTTTCATTTGTATGCATGGCTTCCATTCCACTGATAGAAAATATTCTCACTCTGTTGGTTTGTAGCACGGAAGAAACTTCGTTGCATCCAATCCCGGAGTATTATGCACCTGCAAATATACCATTTCTCTATAATCAGGAGGTAGAGGTACCAATTTAAATACGATTTAAAGTAAATTATTTCCAAAACATTCATACATACATATATATATACACACATACGCATATATATAACTTTGAAATATTAATTTAAAAGTTGTCATTCGTATATATATCATGGGAATAACTGAACAAAATAAAGGAAATAATTTTCTTTATAAAAAAACCATTGACTGTTAATATAAATATTGCATAATTGATAAACTACCACAAAAACAAGGTTGGTGAAGTGGTTTGTGAACGAGGCTTTCCTCCTCTAAGGGTCAAGGTTTGAGTCTCTTCATGCACGCTAAATTTCTTACCTTTTTAGGTTGAGGTCAACATAGAGCAGCAGGAGCAAAGGCGGCAGCTGCGGCCGATGCAGGAGCATGTGCGGCGGCGACTGCTACAACCGGTGCAGGAGCAGGACAAGCGGATGCTAGGCTTGGGGCTCTTGGGATCTTGGGAAGTCTAATAAAGACACCTAGAGTAATTACCCGTACAAAGAATTTAGCATTTTCATGTTTAATACATGTATTTTTAACGTAGTTCAAATGTTGGAATCTGATGTAGAACAAATGACAGATTTTATCGCGGTTGAGCTAGAAAAAGGACGTAGCGGGAATTTGCAGATTTGTCGTCCGAGCTCCGATTAGGATGCAAAATACCATTTCGGAAAGGGAATGACGCCATGAGTTAAACTTACTGCAGTACTGTAAGGTATGATGGATTTTTGCATCCTGAGGTCGTTTGGCCTTCCAAAACTGCATTCAAAGTTTCGTAGTTAATTTTCGGAATAAATTCTGTTTTTCAGTTTTAATGTAATAACTCCCTTAGCAGCTCAAGGGTTGAGAGATGTGTATTTAGACAGATTTGGTGAACGTTTTTTCGGCATCTCAGATTTTAATAAAATTATCCCAAGAGAATTTCTCTTAATTTCTGGTGGAATCCAGATTTCTTGTTACTCAAGGTTTCCGTTTGAAACCTTTGTTGCTTGTGCTGCATCAAAATCAAACATGGAAATCGAGAAAAATAAAACTCGAATGGATAAGAAAATGGAGAAAAAAAAAGCTACCCAGCGACAATGGCTAAAATCACAGCAGGCACAGAGGGGCGTTGAAACCATGGTGGAGAAAGCAAGTAAGATAAAGAGATTCAGAAAAGAGAAGCTCGCTCAAACTGGAGACGAAAGCAAGGAGGCTGAGGGAGAGAAAAGCCCACGTCGAAGCCAGACGACCAAACAGGCCTTAAGGGATTGAGAATAGGAGTAGGAAAGGCAATGAAATGGAATTAAACAAAGAATAGAATCTAGTACATATGGTTTGGTTGGGAATTAGGATGGAATGGAATTAGTTCCACTGTTTGCTTTTGCATTTGTAATCGGATGTAATAAACTGTAAAATAAAAGTAAATAGGAAAAAGCAGTTCTCTTTTTGAGAATATTTAAGTTTCCACAACTGTTAAATTTTTGTTTTCTTCTAAAAACAGTTCCTGGGAAATATCTTCTGTTATGTAGATTGTACTTTAAAAAAATTGTCATCTAGAACTAATTTGCAAGATAGATGGACGCGTTCGCGGCTCCCGTTTGGCCCGGCGTCTTTCGCTCGTGGAAAGCGTAGTTTGAGTCAACAGTTCTCATATGAACATGGGCGGGTCCCATATGGGGGTTGCTGCTTGGAGGGGCCCACTCGGTCTTAGGACACGTACCACCGTATGGTTCTATTCGGAGCGGGGCTGATGGGTTGACCCCGTCCACTGGAATGGACCCAATCTTGTGTTTTTTATTATATAGATACCAGATCCAAGAATAAAATGCTACGCAAGAAAACAAAAATTATAATTAATATAAATACTAAAATTGAAATAATGGTCCATCCATCTGTCTTGCCTCATGACTTTGCTTTGTTCCTTTTGTTATTTTTCCCTTATTAAAAGAGACAATGTTATAATGGTTTTATGTGGTGAAAATCATGGGCATCGCTTTAAAATTTGAAAATCAAATAAGCGAAGATTATTGCAAAAGATTTCTTGCATGTCAAATACGCAAGTGTATGTTTGGCTTCTTTTATAGCATGTAAACTGCTAAAATCGACGTCTAGAAAAATACAGTCGATAAAGAAAAACTTTTAAGACGACAATTTATCACACTCGCATGCTTAAAATATGAAACTGTTGAAATAAATACAATTGCGAAAAAATATTTACAACACTTTGTAAGTCTCGCGTAGCGCACGTTATTAAAAAAATAATGATCATAATATTAACTTGGTAATCATCGCTATGGTCTCCATTAGAAATTTAGCCTTCCAACTAAACCTTTTCCCCTCTCTACTAATTAGATTTCTAATGGAGTCTGTTGACCAGTGTTTGTGCTGATTATTTAGATGTCACTACCTGGTTGAAAACCTATAAGGATTACTAGAAATGTCAGTTATATTTTCTGAAAATGGGTGCTGAATAGATGATATGACCCTTATTTCTAGCGGGCATACATATTTTGTCCAGGTAGGGTTGTATAGTTTTTCTTTGGTAGTTTGGACATTGTATCTTCATAGTTAATCTCGGCATGGATTTATAGTTTTCTTCCATCTTTTCCTCAATTGCACCCTCATTCTAGTATTGCACAAGTCCTAAGCTTTTTAATGGTTTAATGGCAGGGCCATGTATCAGCAATTGAGGTTGGAGCCATACGCAGTGCATACCACATTCTAGTATGCGGGTACTGAAGGAAAGCGCCACCGACTACGTGAAGGCATGGTTTTCTATGACCCACCAGAATACTATGATGCACCAGGTACTAACATGAAATATCACCAATATTTGTGCCATGCATTGCACATCTTCTCGATCTTCTTAGGATACATTTTTCTTGCAACTGCTTCCTTCTGTGAAAGTGAATGTGTATCATTTTCTTTGCATCTTCTCAGTTAAGTTTCCTCCCATCTCATGGAGCTTGATCTTTCATGCTCATTTACATTTCTGAAATTTGCTCTTGTACTAAAGAAGCTACGGTACTCTTTGATTGGTAGATTTAACCATTAGAACATAATGGAATTAGTATTAGAATAGAATGCTGAGAGCTGGAGAGTAAAGTAGGAAGAATTGAAAATTGGTATCATTTTGGGGAAATGGACATTTTATAGGAATGCCCGTTCCTCTGTTCATTCCAATAACCAAACCACTGCCCAAGTCTGAATGTTCTTCAAAACTTGCCACCTCATCAGCAATAAAAAAGTTTGCATAGAACTGAAAATTTGACCACTTGAATATCTGGATTCGCATTTGTTCATATTGTACTGATGACTGTTCTCATGCTGATGCCGCTTGACATCTTTGGAAATTTATGCAGGAGGGTTTTTGTCATTTAAGCCATCTATTCCGAAGTGCTTGTTACTAGATGGGGAGCATAATGTTAAATCACATTTTTCTCTTATTAATTACCAAGTATGTATGTACTAACCTGCTTCCATTAACTTTTAGCAATGATCTGGATATTACAGTGTTGCATCATATAATTTATATCTGAAATGGCTTTGTTCAGATAAAGAAGGTTGGATAGGCTGTGGTTTCCCCACCCTGGTGTGCTTGAGGGATCTATCACTTGACAACCTTTTATTTGCCCTCTTGACCATGTATTTGAGGTATGTCCTGTTTGTCGGAGCTAATTTTATGTACTTTTGTTTTCTTTGCTTCCTCAATAGACAAGATTGCTCAGAAAATTTTCGTTGTAAGAGGTTGCCATCCTTTAGGACAAGTTCCTATTAAAGCAGCCGTTGTACTTAAACAGCAGGATATCACTTACATTCTCGACATCAAGACAGCTAACAGACAAATTCATGGATTTTGCCTTCCAAGTAAACCTTTTCCCCTCTCTACTAATTAGATTTCTGACGCAGTCTGTTGACCAGTGTTTGTGCTGATTATTTAGATGTCACTACCCTGGTTGAAAACCTATAAGGATTACTAGAAATGTCAGTTAGATTTTCTGATTGAAATTGATTATGATCTTCTATTCGCCATTCTTGAGCATGATTAGTTGCAAAGGGGGTTTTCCTAGAGGGTATGGATTCTGGAAGTGCCTTTCCTTGTCATTTATAATTTCAGCCCCTATTTTGGGTGTTTTAGTGAAACTCCCAAAAATCAGTGTGCTGCATGCAAATGCTTCATCTTCTCTAATTCATGTGTTTTTGTTACTGAGGAAACCACATAAAAGAAAGAACAAGTGTCATGAAGCAAACCCCAAGGACAATACGAATTTTACAATCTAACCACAAGGATTGTGTGCATAATTTTATTTTTCTTTTCTTTCTCTATCCTATCTGTGGACCCTTTGTTATAATCATTTAAAAGGTTTTCATTTTAGATAAAGCTGAAATGCAAAATATACTGGAAAAAGGTTTGCCGAGAGAAAAAGAGGCAGTAAGAAGAGGATGTCAGTTATATTGTTTTGAGAAAAAACAACCCAAAACAAAACTTCAACGAAACCCAATATTTGTGACTAATTATATTGACAAATTCCACGTCAACAAGGAAGAAAATTTTAGATCAAAAGAGAAAAAACAAGAACAGAGGACTGAAGAAAGCGAGAATAAGAAAACACAGGTCGTCTGGTGCGGTTTTTGAATTGTGAAAACTTAATAGAATCAAATATGGAAATCCCAAAACTTAAATCAAACAGAAATGCCCACATCAACCAATGAGTTAGATTCAGAAAAAAGTTTTAGAAAGTAAAACGTGAAGCAGCCAAATCAACGGAGTTCAAATGTTGGAATCAAACATGGAAATCGAGAAAAATAAAACTCGAATGGATAAGAAAATGGAGAAAAAAAAAGCTACCTAGCAACTAGGAGAGAGATTCAGAAAAGAGTAGAGACGAAAGCAAAGGAGGCTGAGGGAGAGAAAAGCCCACCAAACAGGCCTTAAGGGATTGAGAATGGGAGTAGGAAAGGCAATGAAATGGAATTAAACAAAGAATAGAATCATTAGGATGGAATGGAATTAGTTCCACTGTTTGCTTTTGCATTTGTAATCGGATGTAATAAACTGTAAAATAAAAGTAAATAGGAAAAAGTAGTTCTCTTTTTAATATAAAGCTTGTACAAACCGTGTGGAAGATATCATATTGAAGTTACCACACTGCGATTTTCCAAGAAACTCTCTCCTTTCCATTATTGCCTTTACTAGAACCTCTTCTGCAATAATCCCATAACACTATAGCAGCTTCTTCTCATTGTTTTGAGTTCAGGTGGGATGGAAATCAGATAATTGAAGAAAGAAAGCAGAGGATCCATCTTGGAAAGTTCCTTTCTTTTTCTATGTAAATTCCTCCGTTTTCTCAGTAACCAGACAGAGGTATTTATGTCTCAAAGAAAAGCACTTGCTTATTAGCTGTGGAAATTGAGAGAGCAACAACTGGTTTCCTGGTTTGCAAATACTCGTCGTGGAGATCAGTCTTCTTCTGACCCATCTTTAACACCTAGTAGTAATCTTTACAGACCCTCCTTGAGTTCCAGGGATGACGGCTACTTCAAAATCAGCAGAGTGGATATTTTTAGCCACTAACCTTGGCCTAGAGATCTTGTCAGCTGCTTGTGATCAGGCTTCCTCCCCAAGAAGACCCCACTATGCACTATTTGGGATGCTGTTGGCTATTGCAGCTCTGCTCATTTCCATTGGGGAGCTAATTTACAGAGGTAAAAAGGAAAGAGTTGTGTTCAGGAGCCGGGGAATGCTCATGTGGTTTTATCATCCGCCAATTCCTCCATATACGCCTTTTGGTACTCTTCCTGACATTTATGGACTCGTTGCTGGCATCTCACAGTGCATTTGCTCTATAGTTCAGTATGTTTACTGCCTTCGGCATGCTGATAGTCCTTTCAAAGCATCCCTTTTGCCTGCCATATTTCTTATCTGTTTAGTTGGTTCAAGACTAAGTAAGAACCGTATGAACGCCAATACTTCAAGGTAAACACGAATTACACTGCTCATCTGCTGCTTAATTAATTTGCACATGAGATAAGACAAAAGGAAAGCTTCTTCTTATTTATTTATTTATTTATTTTTGGAAGGAGACAAGATGGAAATTTTAAGAAATAATTAAGGGAGATTTTATTGGATATCATATCACATGGGAATTCTACTTTATTTCTTTAAGCACAAAATGTAAAGACTAAAGTGCGAGTGGACAGACAAAGAGTCACTAATTAAGGTAGCTCTCTATCTTTAAGAAACAAGAGAGTCGTAAAAGATTGCTTTCTTTTCTCTGCTTGCTTTTTCATATGTATGTGGCTTCCATTCCACTGATAGAAAATATTCTCTCAATCTGTTGGTTTGTAGCATGGAAGAAACTTCGTTGCATCCAATCCCAGAGCATTATGCACCTGCAAATATACCATTTCTCGATAATCAGGAGGTAAAAGTACTAATTTAATTACGATTTAAAGTAAATTATTTCCAAAACATTCATACATACATATATATATATATACACACACATATATAACCTTGAAATATTAATTTAAAAGTTGTCATTTGTATATATATCATGGGAATAACTGAACAAAATAAAGGAAATTATGCTTCCATCTTTCTTTGGATAGTAAAGTGAAATTTACCCTTTTATTTATTCATCGTATTTGTATGCATATCATACATATATATATATATGTGTGTGTGTGTGTGTGTGTGTGTGTTTGTCTGTGTGTATGTGTACATATCTTTTGTTTCGGGAGGACATGATGTATCCAAAAGGCTTAAGTTATGAAGTCCCATATGAAGCCCTACGTGATGAAGATGATGAAGTCTCATATGTATCACATAATGTCAATTTGGAGCTCACTTTGGGAAGGCCACATTTGAATTGAATACAATAAAGAAAATTTAGGTATTAGACATAACAACTAATTAAGATTTGAGATAGAGTATATACTGTTTGGATTTTAATATCTAGGAATGAAATTTTGTTTTGAATTAGGCCGAAAAGGAGGCCCATATGTGAAATAATTTCTTTAAATAAAAAAAACCGTTGACTGTTAATATAAATATTGTGTAACTGACAAATTACCACGAAGAGAAGGTTGGTGAAGTGGTTTGTGAACAAGGCTTTCCTCCTTTGAGGGTCAAGGTTTGAGGCTCTTCATGCACACTAAATTTCTTATGCAGCGGCGGGAGCGGGAGCGGGAACAGCAGCGGCTGGAGCGGGAGATGGAGCTGGACCAGCTACCGGAGCTGCTGCTGTGGGAGCAGATACCAGAGCTACCGGAGCTGCAGCCGAAGCAGCTGCAGCTATCGAAGGCGCCCCTAAGGCTCCAGCGGCTTTCGCGGTTAGTGACGGCGGATTGATGGAGGTGAACATGTGGCGTGTGGCATGACTTCGAAGTAGTTACATTGTGTGTAATTTTGATATTTTTCAATGAGTAATGATTTCCCCACTCCTATTTTATCCACTTACACTCCTTTTTTAGTTATAAAAAAGGAGTGTAAGTGGATAAAATAAGAGAAAAAGAAGTGGGGAAATCACCACTCTTTTTTTTATATATTTTTTTAACGACATTGCTTTGGTAAACCTGTCACATTAGTCCTATTCACTATCAACCACTTGAAACTTAGGCCCTGTTTGTTTGACGGGAATAAAACAGTTGGAATAGGAATGTACTCCATTTCCTCACTATCTTGGAGTTATTTTCTTTTCTAATTTTAATACGGCCAATTAATGAAAGGGCATTTGCAGTGATTTTACATTCCAAGTAGTTCCATGGCATAGAAATACCACCCTCTCTGTATTTCCAGTCCGGCTCTTAAGTGGAATTGACTCCAGTCAACTTAGGTAAATTCTTCCTTAGTTAGGTTTCATTCCAAAACTAGACAAACATCATATATGGATGGAATGGAGATGCTGGTTTTAATGAATTAAATTACAATATTAACCTGATCATCGAGAATTAATTTAATAGGCATGGCATGTTCCCCTCTCAATTTTATTTTGATGCTCATAGAGCTAGAGTCAGTCAAAGGCAGGCATGGTTTTTGTATGATTGATTGCTTCTATAGTAAGACCAATAAAACTCTAAGGACTACCTTTCTAGTCTTATTGATTGGCTCCTCAACGTTTTACCTCTTTAAAAGAGAAGAGTAATTTGGCAATAAGATGTAGAGGAGTTTGTGTTTTTCTAAAATCTAATATGAAGAGTGGTGGTTGTGTGTATAGATGTATTAGGGTTAAATATTAAGTTGGATGACTTTTTTTGTCTTTTTCACAATAATAAAACTTAACAACTTAAAGATTTAAGTATTAGATGAACAAAGAAAAGTGTGGAGTTTAAATAGAAAAACTCTTCTACCTTTTCGTATGCACGACGACTGTAAACAAGAACTCAAAAAATTTCAACTATTGAATCTTAGACATTTCCAATTGAAGGGGAAGGAAGGAATATCGAAAGAAAAAAAAAACAAGTGGAGTGAGACCTTGGTCAAACTAAATGAGGAACGTATAATTGTAGATGGCATGTATAGATCCAAACATTTAGAAAGGCAGAGTGGGTTCGCTGGGAATAATCTATTGTAGTTGCTCAAGGAAGAAATTGATTATTGTGAAGGATACACCGTATTGGGATTGCTCTGTTTCTCATGTGTTTTTCTGGATTTGTAAATATTTGTGGGTTTATAGGGAGAGATAAGAACTACTTCAGACGAAAACTTACATGTAATCCAACTAATAACACAATAACATGTGGAAAAGTTATTCTACGTGTCATTGCGTTATTGATCGAGAATAGCAAAAAATGATATCCTTGTTACATGAGTTTCACATGGTTTTCAAAGTGAACTTCTCAGATAAAGGGTGTTCTCAGAGTCAGAGGGTGGAGTGAGAACTTGACTCATACCTTGGAATGCGTTTTACTTGGGAAAACTTCATGGACAAATTTTTAAAATGGGTAATTGCAACCCGGTTTTAGTATAAATTGAAAGTTGATGTAAACCATTCGATTAGCTATTAAAGGAGCCCCCACACTTGAAAAAAAAAAAAAAAAAAAAGTTTAGGAGGAGAGTGGCTACTCTCACCACCAATGCTAGGGCTGACCTGTAACTTCGAGCCGGAAGGACTTACGCGTGGCACTCAACTACCAACTGCTACCAGCATGAATTTATATAGGAAATTACCTATCGAGCACCAATGAGGACTGCTGGCCTGACAATGTGACCCGAACACTAATGGGGCTACAGGCAACTGGTTTCTATCTTACTTTCTAAAAAACGAAGGCCACAAATCAATATAAACATCCAATTTGGAGATTTTTTTTATCCCTCATTTCTCATTCTCAATATATACATCCAATTTGGAGCTAGCCCAGATACATGTGTATTCATGTTTTGATTGTAGGTTTGCAGGTTTTGGATAGGGATATGAATTCATCTTCTTCTTCTTCTTCTCTTCCTTTTGCTGCCTCCTTCAAGAAAGGTATGATGTGTTTCTTAGTTTCAGAGGTGAGGACACACTAAATACTTTTAGCCTATATACCGTTTTGCTTATTGGTTTGGTCATAAGGATAAGGCTCTAGAATCTGTCCGCTAAAATAATCAGTCCGTTTGGCCCGGCGTCTTTCGCTTGTGGAAAGCGTGGTCTGAGTCAACAGTTCTCATATGAACCTGGGGCGGGTCCCATATAGGGGTTGCTGCTTGGAGAGGCCCACTCGGTCTTAGGACACGTACAACCATATGGTTCTCTTCGGACCGGGGCTGACCGGTTGACCCCGTCCACTGGAATGGACCAAATCTTGTGTTTTTTATATATTATATAGATACTAGATCCAAGAATAAAATGCTACGCAAGAAAACAAAAATTATAATTAATATAAATACTAAAATTGAAATAATGGTCCATGCATCAGTCTTGCCCCTTGACTTTGCTTTGTTCCTTTTGTCATTTTTCCCTTATTAAAAGAGACAGTGTTATAGTGGTTTTATGTGGTTAAAATCATGGGCATCGCTTTAAAATTTGAAAATCAAATGAGTGAAGATTATTGCAAAAGATTTCTTTCATGTAAAATAGGCAAGTGTATGTTTGGCTTCTTTTATAGCGTGTAAACTGCTAAAATCGACGTCTAGAAAAATACCGACAATAAAGAAAAACTTTTAAGACGACAATTTATCACACTCGCGTGCTTAAAATATAAAACTGTTGAAATAAATACAATTGCGAAAAAATATTTACAACACTTTGTAAGTCACGCATAACGCGCGTGATTAAAAAAAGGGCTTCTTAGATATAGGTTCGTTTTCATTTAGATACAATGCATGCAGGACACTAATTGGACTCTCTTCAATTGCAATCCTCCCAATCAATTGTATGGCCACATAAGCAAACCTTGTAGCCACCATATTCGAGACATTTACAATAATGACATTGGTTGAAAATGGCAAGTACATGCAAATACCACTTTTAAATATCAGTTTTCTCCTACAATCAAGCTTATGACATTCAATTTAAATGATGATTTCATGACTCACAAATTAAAAACCTATTTAATTCAAATTTCAGCTATATACATATGGAAACTATATTTTTTAGAATTCTATATTCGTAGCTTTATTAAATTGGTAGCATATATATACCTACTTTTTAGCTATAAATTTATATATTGAGTTTTTCAAAATTCTTGGATGGAATTTTTTTGTCAAAATGTTAATTTTTTAATATACCTAATATGGAGGTATAACTTTTTTATTTATTTATTATTTTTTAAACATATGTGTTTTACCTGGCATTGAGGTGCATCCAATATGTGTTTTACTTAGTACAGAGGTGCATCAAATATGTACCATACCTATTAGATAGGTATATCAAGTTCAATGGTTAGTAGGGTATTGTACCTGTAGCATAGGAATTTGCACAAATCAAGCACAAGAAAAAAGTGATGGTTTGACATTTACATTCAAAATGTAATTATTCCTTTAATTTCATGATCAAATCTAATCATTAATGGCCTATAAATCCTCATCTTACCCGTTAGACAATAGGGATATAATAGGAACAAAAAATTTAAATACAAATCAATTAAATACAAAAGATAGAGTCAGATGTCAAAAATAGAATGTAATCTACATGGCAAACTAGTCAAATGACTTGTACCAATAAACAATAATTCGAGGACTAAACCCAACTATTGGTTGGATTTTTGGACCTCTACCAACTTTTCTATTAAAAAAATAATGATCATAATATTAACTTGGTAATCCTCGCTATAGGCTCCATTAGAAATTTAGCCTGTCAAGTAAACCTTTTCCCTTCTCTACTAATTAGATCTAATGGAGTCTGTTGACCAGTGTTTGTGCTGATTATTTAGAAGTCACTACCTGATTGAAAACCTATAAGGATTACTAGAAATGTCAGTTAAATTTTCTGAAAATGGGTGCTGAATTAGATGATATGACCCTTATTTCTTTCATTCTTAATCTCAGGTGCAACCAAACCGTGTGTAAACT